TAATGTGAAACGAGCTAACGATGGACTGCTCGACTGAGCTAATTTTTCTACAGCCTCTATTATACAAAAGTTAATACATTTTTAACGATTAAAAAATACTTGCCTTCATTTATAAAAATTAAAAGAATAAAAAAGAAACTGCTGTATTATAATACTTTGAAAAATAATAAATTGCAGATATAGTATATCTCTACGTAGATAACAAAACTAGTATTTAATCAATTATGCTCAAAGTTAATAATTTAATATATATTGCAATTCAATTTATGATGATTTTAATATCTCTTCCTAATAAATTATGTATATGATTCCTTTAATATTTATTCATAAAATATATACAAAATGTTTTATACATTTGAAGTTTACAACACATTTTATATATATTTAATTAGCCTATAGTATGAAATAACTGAATTTACAAGCGAATAAAAATTATATTTAATATTTATAGAATCCTCTTAAATTAAGAAAAAAATCACATCATCTTAATAATATCATTTTAATTTGAAGAATTCCATGCCTAAAATTTCTAATGTGAACTGTATATAAAAAAAAATAATGGTAATAATTCTATTAAATGTGTGTGTGTAAATTGTTCAAAGTCATAAATAATATATATTTTATGTTCTAAAATTTTCTCCCTACTAACAAAATGAGTAAATACAATAGATCTTGAACTTCATTTGTTAGACTATACTATTATAAGAAATAACAAAATTCACAATATCGTTTATAAATATATACATATATATATAAGGAACTACCAATGCAAATAAAATACTTATGCATAAAAAAATTCTTATGTTCGAAGACAAAGCAATGAATTTATTTAGTCGATATTTAATTAATATTTAAATGAATTAATTAATATATCTTTCTAAATTACAAATGCCTTATAATTTGATTTTTTAATAATGCTATCGAACATATGGAAAACCTTTTGGTGGAATAAATAAAAATAATAAAAAATTCTTAATTACAAATATTCATAAATATAACATCATTTTCATTACTTACAGTTTCATTAAAATATTAATAGAAATAAAATGTAATATTGTAAAATGAGGTGTTTGAATAAATTTACTACTCAATAATTCCGTATTTCACTTTTATAAATGAATTATTTGTATATTCGCTTCTTATTCAACGATGATATTATTATAAGAAATTTTATATTCTAGATGTAGGAATATATCGATTTCTATAACTTTATAGAAAGTTAATTTAAAAATCTATGATTGCAAAATATTATATAACCATAAGAAAATTAATTAATTAATATATTGATATAAAATAATTATTGTGTATATATATATATATATATATATATATATATATAAAATAATTAATGTATATAAAAACTATTATATATTCCTTTATATATATATATATATATATATTGATATACTAGTTTTGCTTAATGTATATTTTATTTTCTTTAACTTATAATCGATCAATCTATCAAATAACAATTTTTTATTATGCTAATTATATTTCATTTCAGTTAAATTATTTTTCTAAACTATTTAGTTTCTTCAAATTCGTAGATACTTGTCTGAATGAATTTTCAAACTCTGTCAATCCTATATCTAAAATTAAAACGTATCCTACTCGGAATCGAACTATCTTAATCTTTTCTATCCCCCATGTTGAAAGGCTTTCTAATTTAATGTTTCCAAGTGTTATTTATTACTTTACAGTGAAGGAAAACTCGAATTCGACCTTTAATTATAATCCACCGCTTGTTCCATAATCTTAATTGGATAATCTTATTCCTAGTTTCATTACAAACTATAAAAAATGATGAATAGAAAGAGAAAATTTAATGTAAATAATAATAAACAAATAAAACAATATAAATACCTACGCTAATAAATTTATAAACATCTCTAATTATATCATTATAATTTATAAATTTAGATTAATTTAGAAATTATAAATTTATACTACTGATGAATTTATTTTTGAAATTTCAGTAAAAATCTAAGAATATTTTAATATTAAAATATTAATATATATTTTTATTTATTAAATATGAGATAATACATATTAATTATGATTTTACTGCTCTGAATATGAATTTCAAAAATTTAATTTATAAAGTAATTGTATATTGTACTTAATCATATTTATTATTTATTAAATAATAAAGTTGAACATTTTTATTTCTACATTAACTCATTTATTTAAAAAAAATGTGATAAATTAATGATAATTAATTAGAATACCTATTAGGAAACATTGCTGAATATATAAGTATGAAGTTTCGATTTAACAAATAAAATAATTCTGATTTTTTATTTATTTATATTTTCTTTTATTATTATTTCAAAATATAAATCTATATGTTGAAATTGAAACTGGAATGTAAGTTGAAATCAAATAATTTTTATTAGTAATATAACTAATTCCAAAATATCTATAATGATAAATTTTGTTTCTTTACGTGTCCACATTTTAATAAGAATATCCAAAAGAATTTCTGCCAATTGAATCTTTATATAAATACGTGCATAATTTTAATTAATTTGTAACAATTTTAGAGTAAATTAATTAAAAATAATGAGCTAAAATTAACGATTAGATGTGTTGTAGCGCTATAATCGAAGGACGGAAAAGTCCTTTAATCAACAAATAATTACAGTGATAAGATGCTCGATTATTTTATATGTATAAAATGAATAAGAGTGCTATGTAATAAGTCAAATTGCATATAGATGGTTTTTCACTCTAAGCATCTGCTCGTACCTTATAACTTCTTTCTTTAGTCTGGCGTTTCTAATGAGCAACCTTTATGTGATAAATCATTGGTTTGTTCCTTATCAACGTATGGAGTATTCACTATCATAATAAATCTTTACATCGGAGCCTCCAATCCATTCGTTGTCAATTTTTCTTACCTAACATGATATGTTTCGCTCGATTGGTAAAACGTTTAATTTTATTTTCAAATATTATGATGCACTTTTTATCTCAAGATGTGTATTATATTTACATTGTCACAACGATTATATAGGATATGCTCGAAGTATCGGACCTTCCTTTTATTATTATATATAGAAAATTATCTTACAACGTGCGAACTGTCGCAGAGGGATATCGAGTGTCGGCAAGATCGAAGCATCTCGACGTCCTACGTGGCTTAACTACAAAAATTAAAGGCATAGATATAAAACCTTTTAAGTGGATTTTATATGGATATTTGAATACAAAAGATTCGTTACTTTTTCAAGATATTCATTTCTACACAACGGTCATTTATTACAAGTAAAACATAGTTTATAAATAAAAGTAATAATAATTTTAGGCTTTCTCTGGCAAGACTTGATTTAAAACAATTATATAATGATAATTCAAAAATTAGAAAAATCTTTGACTGCAGTTAATAATGATTAATGTACTATGAAAAATTAACAAACTCTTGCAAACACACATACATGTGTAAATAAAGATTTCATAACATAACATAAATCTAAAAAACTCATAAAAAATTAATTCTTATGAACGAAACTAGCACGTAGACATCTTTTTCAAATAGATATCAGTAAACGAATTGAAAAAATAAACCAATGAAGGTACCAAAGAATACAAAAATCATTAATAAAAGAAAGTTTGATTGATATTCGATCCTACAAAAAGAGACTTACGCATAAAATCATAGATTTGTATGACGAAAAACTAAAACACCTTTTATAAATAGACATGTTAAGTTACAAACTACCAATTTTTCTTGAATAAGAATTTGAAATTCTTTTAAATAAACTATTTATGCAAAATATGTCATTAAACAAAATTGATTTCTAAATACTCTTTCCATTAATGTTTTACTAAATTTTTCATTTCGAAATATTCAGAGTTGTATTTTTATATATATTAAACAAATAAAGAATTACGTATGTATATATTTAGAATTTATTATTTTTTTAATAAATCCATACACATTATTATTAGTTATGAAATATTTTTAAAAAAATTTATCATATTAAGTATTTAAATAAGGTTTGAGTATTTAAATAAGGTTTAATAATCGGAATAATTTGAAAATAATATTATAATGATTGTGTAGATCAGTATTCGGTACTTTTAATAAATTTCAGATATTACGTTTACAATTTAAATGATAATTAAAAATGATTTCTTAAAGTACGAAGTATTTCTATAATAATAAGAACAATAACCATTATTCTTGTACGAATTCAATTCGATTTAATATCACACATATCAAAACAATATCAAACTTATTCAAATAAAAAAATTACTTCCCACAACGATTTAAAATATAAGAATTATTAAATCCATTTAATCTGATATAACTAATCAATTGATATGAGTCGTTACGTAGTATGATACTTGTAACTCGTGATAATTTATTTGAAAAAAAAGTATTAAACATATAAATAAATTACATAATCACATAGAATTTGATATACATTAATCTTATATTTAATAAAAATCTATTTACATGTATGTCGATGATCTTTTAATCGTTTTTTATTTAATGTACTTTAAAATATAGATATAAAAATGTAATTTGATTCTAGCTAATTTAATTAAAATATTTCTTTTCTGCTTCACGGGACTTTAATCATAAAGTATGATAAAAATAAACGAAGTACTTCTATTTCCCCATATAAAAAAAGTGGTGTGTAATTACACAGTTCAACACTCAAATGCATTTATTTCTATATTTAAATTTCATTACTAAAAATATATACTAAAAACAGTTATTCGTCGCTTCAAATAAGGAAACTCGTTAACAATATCAAATTTTATCCCAATATGAGTTTATTTATATATATATGAATTACAAATATTGCGTATGTGTTCATGACCGATGAAATAAAAATGCTGTCATATAATCATTTATATCGACGAATTTATTTAACGTCGGATCACCATTCGTTTCCAATAATTCAAGCAATCAATTTGATGCTTAAAGTCAACCATCTGAAATATTGAAAAATAAAGCGCATGAAATTCAATATAATAATGTATCTCACGGTACTCTTGGTCGCAAAGCTGTGAGTTCTAGAGACAGCTTTGTCCTCGTAATAAATTTGCTCTTCTGACGCAATGAAACCTTGTGTACAAGTTTTTCCATCTTCTGCCTCATTTTCCGCGAGTGATCCGAGACTATTGTACCACTGCACGGATCTGGTTCTAAATGGTTTGAAGCCAGACGGTGGTTGAAGTAGTTGTTGCGGCGATTGATACTTATTTGGATGTTGCTGCTCCTTATCATTATGCTGCTGATGTTGTTGCTGTTGTTGTTGCTGCTGCTGTTGCTGATGATGCTGCTGCTGCTGCTGCTGCTGCTGCTGCTGCTCTCGTTGAGGTTCATCCAGGTCCTTGCCGAAGCTCATGCTCCGCCGGATTGGACGGAGGCCGCGATTGATAGCTGCCGGTAAGTCGGCGCTCCCCCTTAACAGCGCACCAAACTTGCGCCGAAGCGACGGTTTGCGATCAAATTTCGTTTCGGTTATTTCAAAAGACTCCTTTTTTTCATCCCTCTCTAGCTGACTCTGCTTCTGATGCTGTTGTTTTTCTGCAACATGAGCGAGGACGTATTGGTAAGTGTTTTCGTACGCAGATCTCGTGAATTAAGCATTGGCAAGCGCAACTTTACAAATCCAGCGGAAGCTCGCTTTAGCTATTGAAAATAAGAAAAAGGGAGCAGTAGAGGAAAAATGAGGGAGAGAGGGGGCTTGAGTTCAATATAATGAAAGCTTTTAATTTTAATTTTGTACTCTATTACAAAGTATTCGTATAAATAGGATATACGAATATTCGATTATTAATGGCATAAGACAGTGAAAAACAGAAATAACATAAATGCGATGGACAATAAATTTTTCGCGATTACAAGCCCAACGTTTCAAATAATTTAATTTAATTCTGTTTTACATATTTCACTTATTATTTCCATTTCTCTTTGAAATTAATATTGAAAATTTTTCATAAAGGCTTTTTTCAATTGGAATGTATTATCTAGAAAATACTTATTAGTATGCATTATGAGACAGATTTAATTAAATTTATAATTATAACGGAATAAATTATCATAAAATTAATTACGCCTTCAAAACATCGTTGAAAAAATATAAATGAAAAAAATATATATATATATCCATGTGTGAGTGTGTGTGTGTGTGCGCGCGCGCGCACGTCATAATTTAAATATTAAAACATAATGAGGAAATTAAATTATAATTCATAGTGTTGGATAAATTGAATTAAGCTTGGTATGTGCAATTTGTTCTTTATAAATTAATCCCAGTTCATAAATAACGATTTCATTTAAATGCCATCATGTATTTTATAATTCATTTGTTGCTTCTCATGTTCCCTTATCATGTGTACACTGCATTGACATGGCTTAAATAAAACGCTGCGTTGCAAAATGATTGACTCTTGGCCTACTTTTCTTGATATATTTTGAAGCTTTACAATACAAAGAACATTAAAGTATAGTCACGAGTGACTTTTCAACAATTATAAATTATGCTAATGAAAGATGAAAGAGCATATTAACAAATTTGGAATTACATTTTTGCTTATATAAATAACAAATTTAAGGGGAATAAAGCAAAGCAAACAATGATTCGAGCAAATTCATGTAAAAAATACTTGTTATACAAACTCTAAATGTTTGTCATTCAATTTATATTTAGTAGTACAAATATATTTCAAATTTTAAATAATAAATATAATCTCTCATGCACCAGATTATTATTACACATTATTATCTTACAACGTACATTACTTTTCTAAGCATTTTTTAAACGTCACTATGAGTTATTATTATGAAATACATTGTGCTCTTTGGTACAAATTTTTCCTTTTTCAATATCCAGTTACTGCAGCATTTAAGAATACAAGAAAGAGTTTTTGGAATTGAAAAAAAAATTAAAATACAAATCAAAATCATATTGTAAAAAATAATTAATAGGAAATAGTTTATTTTTCTATAGCTTTAATATAATTAAACTTTTGATAAGGTAAAGATGTGGAGAAATTGAATAATGTATAGCTATTGCACTATTACTACAAAAGCTGGATAATATCTCTCAATTTTCTTCTACTCCAAATATATATATATTGAACAATTCCTGTCACCCAAGCTTTTCACTCTAGATTTCTTTATCGTTTTTTCTATCTGAATTATTTTTTCAAAATAATGACAAAAGATTTCATAAATAATCGGATTCGTATAAAATAAAAATTAATTGGTCGTTACGCTTGCCTATATTTCATTTGGTATGTAGTTATTATAAAAACGATTTCACATTTCGTACGTTTATGTACAAAAGTTTTTAATAATTTTAACCACTCAATAGGATAATTATGAAATTACAAATAGTATATATTAATTACAAATCAATTATAATTCTAAATCATCTCTGGCATTATCTAATTTATTATTATGCTTGTTTAATCGCTCAACTTTGAAAATTTCTACAGATATGTGATTTGTAAATTTATAACAAATAACCATACACCAAACGAAAAGCTTCGATTGGATATTGCTTTTCTCCTACTCTATCAAATTATTTTCATTATTTTATTATTGTAATAAATACACAATACAATAATTTTTAATGCTTGAGAAAAAATGTATTGGCATTGAAAAAATTTTATATATAAATTACTATATTGAAGTATCATATTATTCATTTATGTTCATTGAAAGTTATTTATTTATTTTTTATTTTATATTTGTTTTGTTAGTAAATCGTCTAAATTAACCATCTAAATAGAATCAAATTACTCTCATTGTTACCTTCATCACTGCATAACTCCATTATTTACGAATAAATCAATAAAGCTTCACAACCAATAGAAACACGAAGTTGTGTGAATGTTGCAATGTTAAATATTAAAAAAATTCGTATTTTGTAAGTTTTCAGAGAAACTACTTATGACACTCGTATGACATATGACTTATAACTCACCCGTTTCTTGACGTCGAAGCACAGCACGCGCCAGCACTTTCGAATCCTTTGACATTCTGACGGCTGGAATCCCCTGCAGTATTGCGGCTTCCTCGTACTCTACTCTATTTTTCAAGGGTATTTGTATCGCCGTCGGCGCTTCTCTCGTTTTGCAGTTTCGTTTTTTCAGGCTTTTTGGCACCTGCTTCGTAAGTGTCATGGTCCAGGCCAGCTCGCTTCGGCGAAGAGCCCTGTGTCCTCTCTTCTTCTTCCGCAACTATTTTTTTTATTGCACAAACACAGTATCCGATAAATATTCACGCTTCGGCATAGTTTTTCCGTACGGTTTCTGTTACTGTGATTGGGCAGCTAGCTTAACCACGGCACATGATCCAACACTTTTCTGTTTGGATTATTATTGCTTGATTTGGTATAAAGCCACTACTGAAAGATTACAAACATGAAAGCCGCGAAAAATGACTTACTTGCGCGATGAGGCGTGATAGCTAATTATAAATCACTTTATTATATTTATTACTTATTAGATCAATTAAGAGGAATAGAAAATTGAAGTTACATATTTCATTTGTTATACAAAATTGTAGAGAAATTGGAATGAGATTTATTTTTTAATAAATAGTTAGTATAGATAAATAGTTAATGATGTTTTGCTTCAATATATGCATTGCATACGCTAAGTGAATATGTTAGTTGATTTAATTTTCTGAAGATAATTGAACTATTTGTCGATAGAATATTTATTTCAAAGATTATATTACTGTGATTTCAATATTTTACCAATATTTTCAATGTTTGTACAAAATTAACTCGATTCTTGAAATTGCCTATTTCATTAAATAGTCGTTAAAGATTAGCTTTTTATATAGAAAAGATATCGTTTTATAATCTACATAATACCCACACGTACATGGCACATGGCACTACGAGCATTTAAAAAACATATTTAAATTTCTGCAGTTCAGTTATATAAGGGATAAAGTGAGTTTACCTTAATATTATCCAATTACGTTAAGCAAATGAAATTTGATAGCATAATGTTGGGTACCACTAAAAATAACATTCTAAATTTAATATTTAAACCATCAAAGATTTCAAGCATAGAATACAATAAACAAATGTACAGACTGATTTACATTCTCTTTAAAATGAACTATGACATATATCGTACATTATACAATTAAAGTCAATAAAAAACGAAATAAAAGAAAATTCCATTCTTTCGATAACAATAATATATTTGTTCGAGTTTGAATACAAATAACATATAAACAAAGTTAATGTTATTAATAGAATGATTTATCCAATTAGCATTAATTTAACATTAATGTTCTATAAAAATTATGAGTTATCCAATAATAATAATAATAATAATAATAATAATAATAATAATAATAATAATAATAACAATAATAATAATACTATGAAAAATAAACGAATATTGGCAGAATGATGATCTTGAACGATATGAATATTCAATAATAATAATTTCATCTATAACTTTTGTCATTCAGATGAGTAAAATGTTATTCAAGGATTTTTTTATTACTCAATTCTATCATAATGAATTAAACACTTTACTTCACTAATTCGAGTTAATGAAGTATCAACTGCCTGAAATGTTTGTTTTAACATTTACAATTCTACATTTTATTTGCAAATAATTACAAAGTTTATATTCTTTAAACAATTAAAATGATTAGACTCCGCTATTTGAATCAAACAACTGGTATTAATTAAAAATTTAAGATAGTTATTCTTTGATTATGCAATAAAAGTTTATTAAAAATATTAAATAATTATTAGAACATATCAAACAATACGAATCTTTTTGAATAATTCATTGTATGCTTAATGTATTTCATAATTTCAAAATTTTGGAAAAGAAGCTCAAATCAAGATTAAATAAACTAATTATAAATAGCATTAAAATAAATTGATATTTTTGGTGATATTTAGAAATTACATGAATTCCTATTAATGTTAATACGTGCAATTTTTTATTGTAACTTTATTTATAAATTAAGAAAAATAAATAGAAATCAATTATTTATTGTTTCTTTATAATCTTTGGATTAACGTAATTAAAACGCATACTTGTCGAGAAATAGAAAAATTGAGAAATCGAGATTAATACATTAATTTTATATTATTATATAAATACGAATCTGTCAATGTATATCCAAGTATTGGTATAAATAAACTAAATGATTACTTAAATAATAAAATTAATTATATTTTCACTACTTTTAATTCGATGAGTTTTAAACTATTTCTGGATTATGAGATAAGTTCAAAGTGAAAATAGTAACAGAAACAAAATAGCAAAAGAAATTTCAAGTTTTGTCAATAATATAAATAGTATTGATAATTAAGTAAATAAATCTACTTTGAGGAGGTTTAAAGTAATCTAGAAAATATAAAATATCCGTCTGACAGTTTATTAATTTAAAATTATTCGTAGATTATACAGTATAAAAGCAAAAAAAAATTTGTTTAATAGAATACGAAGCTAAATCAGCTCTTTGAAAAAGTTCCTCATACAGATAACATAAATTTGTACAAACAAATTAGCTTACATACATAAATAATATATTTACATCTATGAACCTTAATATTAAAGAGCTAAAAAGAATTATTTAATTTTTAAAATTCAATGCATCAATGCAGTATAATGGAGCATTGAAAAGCAAGTTAAATTAATGAAATACGTTAAAGCAAATATTATAATGAATTATAATTTTGAACAATTTATTAAAATTATATAATCTGTGTAAAATCAATGTAAAATAAAAAAATATTCGGCTTTTTTGTAAATTTTTAAATTTAATGAAATTGTATGTAGAAATAAAAACATATTTAGTCGTCTAAGATATAAAAATATTTTAAAAAATACTTATATAATGTATTCAAGAATTCTAATAAAAACATTATTAATCAAAATATTACAAGCCAATCAAAATACGTTCTAGTACTAATAAAACGTAATAATGTAATAATTCAAAGAAATGATAAAAGATGAAATGCAAGTGAAATGAATCGTAAATGAAGATGAAATGAGAAAATGTAAGTATTAAAAATCTTGGCTCTCTTATAAGTTAATCAAATTTTAATTACGTTATATAGTCAATTTAGGATTAAAGATATAGAGTAGTTTTAAAGAATATAGAGTAATTTTTATTTCTAAATATGCAACTGTGTGCAAATAATATATATATAGATATATATATATATATATATATATGTATGAACACACAGATAAAAATCTTGAATAATAATTACACTGGCATAGAACAAAAATATACGAAATATAAATATTATTTAATATCTATAATTATAAATCATTAAAGAATTTATCCTGTACTTTTACAATTTTTTATATACTAAGTTTTGAAATTCTAAATTGATGTGCTCGAATATTAAAGGATAATATTAATTGAAATCTGAGTAGAAAAGTAGATAGATGAATGTACTTGTGTTCATTAGAAAATAATTAAAATACAGAATTTTTATAGAGTAATTCGAAAGATTAATATTTTTTTATTTTTAAATTTTATTAATATTTGATACAATATACATTATATTTATACTATGAAAGAAAAAATTAAATTCCTAAGAAATTTCTTAATTGTAATTCATAAAAATTAAATACTATTTAAATTAAAAATTATTTTACATATATTATATAAATTTATTAAAACTATAAATATTTCTACTTTTTCTTTTTTAGGACAGATTTGAATATATTGACAAAAAATTTTCATAAAAATGTAAAATAACCATGTATTGTCACTATAAAAAAATTTAATTTATATGCTATAAATCATGCAGATATACACAATATATATAATTCAAATCTTATAAGTATAATTAAGAGGCTTCATTTTTTTAAATAACATTTGAGTTTATTATATATATATATTAAAAATCAATACAACATATGAGATAAAAAATTGAACATCATTAATAAATTAATAAATGTTATATGATACAATGTAGCACGAATAATATAAGCATAAATTTGTATTATAAAGATAAAAAAATTATCTGAAGTTTGTGCTTACTACTTGTTGACTTGCCATTAATAATATCAAGATATATTATGAAATATTCAATATATTTAACATAAACTGTACTTATCAAAATTTTAAAAATTAATCAACCTATTTTCATTCAGTCAGCTATACCAAAATTTTATTCACTTATCAATATCTAAGTAACGTAATATAAGATAATATTTTTGATCTGAATAAATTAATTATAATATTTAGCCACATATTTGTATATAATTATTAAATATATATATATATATATATATATATAATGATGGAAAACAGTAATGTTAAAGTGAGAAAAGAATATGATACTGAAAATAATACAATAGACGGTTGTTCTACAGCGATAGAATGAATAGCTTATCTAACGACTATAATAAGGACGAAATTATTTGCTTGCGGAAACTGACGAAAATCAACTGCGACAGGTGTCAGGTAATTTTCTAAGATGAAACAATTCGCTGACACATTTACTTTATTAGATTAACAGCAAAGTATATATGCCATATGATAAAAAAAACTTATAGGAATAGTTTTGTAGTTTGGTAAATTCCTAAGGGATAATAACGGGATAATAATGGGGTAGCAACTATACACGTATAAATTTGTAAAATACAAAACAAAAATAATATTATTTATTTGAAAGTAAAAGATGGAAATGTTGTGTTGAGTCAATGTATCGATGAAGTTAACCTTTTATTTTAATTTATGTATTGACTCATTTTTATATTATGTAGGGGAAAAAATGTTTAGACTTTTCTTTTTAATGAAAAAAATTAATTAACCGTCGACATGTAATATGAAATTCTCTTAGTAAGTATACTTTTAATCCTCTTCATAATTTTTGACAGATAAGAAGTAATAATATGCTTAATCTTATCAGTAAGCACAATGATGATTCTGTTCAACGGTAACGAAAGAATTTAATCATTATTTCTCAAGGTAAGTAAGAAAAAAGTAATTGCAATTATTTAAAACCAAAAAATATTATGTTTCATAGATTGTGGGCATAAGTATTGAGATTTATATTGTGGTATTTTTATAGATATTAGGCTGTAGTAATAATTTTTTAAAAAATTTATAATTAATTTTATGCAATGCATAATATAAAATATAAGAACATAAAAATATTATTCAATGTAAATATAATTTTAATCAAATTTAATATACATCGATACGATCAAAATAGCAATATATAAATTTATGATTTATAAATAAATTATGACTGAATGGCATTAGTTTATTACATGTCATATAATGCTTTTTATCTGCATTTTATTTTATATTATATAAATGTTACGTTTAGTATACAAGGATATGTTCGACATGATTTCGTCATCATAATAAAATATTAAATCACCGCTGTAT